TTCGTTTTTTTTTTTTTTAATTTTGGTAGGCTGCTACTAGCAACGGTGAATCTGTTCAGAATGGGACGCCTACTCCCCAGCCTGAGATTCAGACTGCTACTGGGAACAGCGAACCGATTGGGACGCCTACTCCCCAGCCTGGAATTCAGGTTGCTACTGGGAACAGCGAACCGATTGGGACGCCTACTCCCCAGCCTACGATTCAGGTTGCTACTAGGAGCAGTGAACCGATTGGGACGCCCACTCCCCAGCCTACGATTCAGGTTGCTACTAGGAGCAGTGAACAGATTGGGACGCCTACTCCCCAGCCTACGATTCAGGTTGCTACTAGGAGCAGTGAACAGATTGGGACGCCTACTACCCAGGGTGGAATTCAAATCGTGACTTTTGGAGTGCAACCGACTCCCATTCCTGGAAATACTTTGGACACTGTGATCGTCACAGCTACCCGACCCGTTGGAGTGCAGTCGCCTATCGTCAACATTATCACGCCTGACCGGACAGATGTGTCCCCAGTTACGTCCAACCCGACATCAACGACACTGCAAGACATTTCCGTCATAATCCCTCCAGCTACGATTGGTGCCGCAGCAGCTACAGCAGTATGCAACTGTCCAGTGATTACCACAACTGTGATTCAGAATTGCCGGGCACAAACGTCACGAATTGCTATACCGCCGTCTTCGCAAGTTGTAGTTATAAGTGGGGTTCATAATGGCCAACCAACACCGACGCCTGCTCAGCCCATCTCGACAATAATCACAGTCCAGCAGGGTTCAACTAGTATTCAACCGCTACCTCCTGTTCAGACGATTCAAGTCGGTCAGTCAACGTTAGCACCTACCCCGACCCATCCCATGCTTCCGAATCGCATTTTGACAAACCCGACCTTGATTGCTGTGCCGACGGATCAAACCATGATCCATTCGACAGTGGCATCTCCTATTGCGACGCAGAATATCCCACCTATTCAGACAAACGTCCAAGGGACGCCCACCCCCACGCATACCATGTCTCAAAATCGGCAAGTGACGATTCAAGTCTCGTCAATGATACATCCGATCATGACGCCAGTAGCCACGCATACCATGTCTCAAAATCAGCAAGTGACGATTCAAGTCTCGTCAATGGTACATCCGATCATGACGCCATTAGCCACGCATATCATGTCTCAAAATCGGCAAGTAACGATTCAAGTCTCGTCAATGGTACATCCGATCATGACGCCAGTAGCCACGCATACCATGTCACAAAATCGGCAAGTAACGATTAATCAGGTGTCCACGATCGTACATCCGATTATGACAGCAGTAGCACCGCACACCATGCCCACACCTCAGAATTCACCTGGCGAAACTCCGCGAGCAGGCCATACAGTGTCGGGCCCTATTCAGACGGCGGTGCCACCACGATCATCAAACTCTTCCACTGTTGCAAATCGAGTGTTGACCACTCCCGCTGCAACTGGACGTGTGTCGACAACGAATGCACCTGGCACGGTTCAGCGAGGCGCTGGCACAGTCTCGCGTCCCGTCCCCACCGCAGTGCCGCCGAGATCTTCAAATACTGCAATCACTGCTCAAACAGTTCATGGCAAGGCCGGAACGGTTCAAGCATCATCAACTGTATTACAGCGAGTGCGGACCACTCTTGGCGCGGCTCAACGCGTCTCTACACCCAATCCTGCGACAGTTCCGATAGCTACCAGCACACCATCGCGCCAGACATCATCAGTAAAAGGTCAGCAACCGAGCACAGCTCCTACATCGCAGACGACACCGACATCAAACCGGAGCGGCGGAAAAAGGTACAATCTCCGCGCTAGGCGTTTCTGAAAATGAAAGCAAGGGTGGCAAAACCTAGCCTTACACAGTAACAGAAGAAAAAAGAACAAAAAAATGTCTCCTCTGTACCATATTGTAAAATAGTGTGTTTCGCTTGTCCGTAACGTCATTTCAACAAGCAGCAAACAAAATAAAACAGCAAAATATATAAATGGTCGGAGGGCAAACATTTCTGCTGACCTCATCAGCCAAGCCTCTCCATCAGAGGCTAAGCCATTGCCGCATGAAACGCCGTTTCAACCCCTAATCTTGCCGCTTTTGGCTGGGCCTTCGAACCGGGGGAAGGAACACCTGAAGTGTTACTTTTCACACTTGCCTTTTGGGTAAAGATGGGCTTTGGGCTAGTCGTAGGAGCAAGTGTGTGGATTGTCGTCTTTTGAACAAGTTGCTGTCGATTTGGGACGTTATTTCTTTACGGCAGGTGTCTTTTACGCTTGGACGTTAGATCCATTGCGAGTTTTTCGATAGATCGGCCTTGTTTCGCCAGCGCAGCTGGACTTTTACCGAGTATTTTGCTGGGACGGGAGTTTCTTTTTGTTTTTATTCTTGTTCGTCCCATCCTGCCCGCTCTATTTTGGGGGATCGATCAATTCGTGAGCACCACCAAGTCTCTCTTGCCAGGAGGTCGTGGCTCTAGAGGAAACGTTAGTCGAGATGGATCGAAGGGTAAGTTTGCAGGCGAGTGTGCGAGCTTATTACATTTTATGGAGTTGTATATGGTTTTGTGGAGGCGAACAGAGGCATGGAAACTGGAGCGGGTTTTTGGTATAACTCGTAGACATGATGGACGGGGGTGTCCTCCCGCCCAACGTTCCGTTCGGCGCCCTTGCCCCTGGCGCGTATAAAGAGGAGGAGGAGGGAAGGAGGAAGCGGGGGAAATTCAGTGTCGTTGTACTGTGATGGAATCCTTTCGTCAGCGTTTGATTAACCATCTGTTTTCCTCTTCTTGCTGCTGTCTTACTCTCTCCGTCCTCGTTTGTGCTCGTCCTTCTACCTCGTGTGCCCTTTTCTTCTCCTTACCATCTGAACCGTCATTACGTAATCATCGCCTTTCGCGCTCTCCCGCCCTTTTTCACACTTGCACAATGACCGTGTGATGGAAATTGAACGTTGGGACGCACCATCCACTTTGCTTCCGTCCTTTGTTGGAAACTTGCCGGGCACTTTTCTGTGTTCTTGCCCGCCGATACATTTGTCGTTGTTCGTTATCAGGGTAAGGGAAGTTACGGTACTGGCAATGCCCAACAGGTGCAGCTACAGAAACAACAGCAGCAGCAGCAGGGTGCCAAGGCTGGCAAGGTCATGACTGCAGAAGAGTTTGAGAGAATTTTGGAAAACAATACTGCTACGACTAGGATCACCTTATCCTCAGACCGACGATATCAGTCCGAAGACGACCTGTCAGATAATTCTATTGACAGAGCTCTGGCTTCGCAATCTGCTTTTTACGATTACGTGTCCACTCCTGGACAGCAACAACCACAGCATCCCCAGCAGCAACACGCACAACAGCCTAACGGCGTACACATCCCTTCTCGGACTCATCCAGTGCGGCAAAATACAGCACCACCTCGATTGTCAGAGTCTCACGACAACTACGACGACGATCTGATGGACACGCCACCGGTTCGAAGGAACGAAACGCAGTCTCTAGCGGATTTCCTGCGCAGTACGGGACCAGATGGTGTTGTGATATCCGCCAAAGATGCCAAAAAAGATAAGGAAAAGAAAAAGAAAAAGTCTACTGGTTTTTTTGGATTTGGAAAGAAGAATAAGAGAGAGGACCAGCAGAATGCTCAACCGCCCAAGCATGTTCAGTTGAAGATACCATATGATCCTTTTGCGAACAAGGAGAATCAAGCGCAAGGACAGCAGGTGAGATCACTATGCCTTTTTTATGGTCAATGTAAGGTAATGACAATTTTCCTCTTTCCAAGGATTATTTTGGTGTTCCCTCACACATATCGAATCGCGAAGTCCGCCGCAGTATCATCATTGCAGAGGACGAAGGACGTTTCGGGGCACCTCTCATTGATGTTTCAGCTGCAACCGGCCGACCACGTCGTCCGGAATCCATGCTACCGGAAGGTGGTCTCCGGGCGCCGTCACCCAGAGGACAGCAACAGTATGAAGCGTACTTTGGTCCGCCCCGTCAACAATCTTTGCCTCAGCAGCGTGCGAGTGTCCATCATTCACCACCACAGCAACCGCGCATGGACCAGGACCCGCAGTCTCAGCGACAACAAGAGCAAGGCGTGCCACCGCGTCGATCGCCTTCACCTCATGGGCGACTGGGTGAGCAAGGGCGACCAAAGAATGCTGTTGATCAACGGCCGACGCAGCCCTTGAACTACCCGCTATCCCTTATGCCGGATGAAGCCTTCCACGTCTCTCCTTTTGAGTCCAACTTTAAGTTCGAAGACCAGGTATTTCTCTCTGTCGAACCGCCAGCACATGTGGTTACCCAAGATATGGTGCACCAGGCCAACGTCCCCGAGTACCGCAATGATTATCTGCTCTCGGACGATGATGACGATGATGACGATTGGGATGATCACTACGATGATGATGATCGGTTTGATGATTTTGACGATCTAGACGAAGAAACGCTCAAAAACACCGAGCTGAATGCAATGATTGAGTACGGGATTTCGGATGTTGTCGGGCCGGAGAAAACTCGAAAGCCTGGTATGGCACCACCACGTCCCAAGAAGACTGTCAGTTTTTCTGCGGTTGTGGAAGAGTTGATGGGGGCTTGGGAGGATTCCGATGGCGAGTTCGAGTACGGGCCATTGTCTACATCTTTTACAGCACTGAAGGACAAGGAAGCGGAACGGATGCAATGGGAGGGAAGTGGAAGCGGAGAGAATGGTGTCGGTGTGGGACCGGTGATAACGTCGCGGGGATCTTCGTTGGTGTATTCTGCAGGAAAGCCATTAGATGGTGATGAAGTCCGGGGTGGAGAAGGGGCTCCCACTAACAGTCAAAGTGCCCCTGCGGTCGCAGTAGGAGCTGGAGTTGCAATGGGACAGCAAACAGGACATGCTCCTCCCACGGTGGCACCTGCTGCTGAACCGACCCCAGCTCATGCTCATACGACAACATCCCCTCCGGCATCAGTGCCGGTTGCGGCACCCGTCACTCCTCCCTCAACGCCCCAGACCGTTATGACAGCCGCCGCAACCCGCACGGCTTCCCTTTCGTCAGAAGCGGCGACCCCTAGTCCAGCATCCACTGCGGCTACATCACCCACACCTGTATCAACCGGCACAGGTACTGGGCCAACGCCACAGTCGACATCAACAGCGGGTAATCCACCAGTAGCGGCACCAACCCGGACGCGCAAAAAAGTCCGTCACGTCCAAATCCAAACCCGTGGTGCATCAATGAAGGAAGTCCAAACGCAAACGGTGTTGACTGTTGCAGCTCTCAATACCCAATTGGAGACACTGTCGGCAGAAGCTACCACGCTGTCAACCAAGCATGCGCAAACCCTCTCAACTGTCTCGTCACTTACCAGTGCAAAAGAGGTTGCGGAAAAGACCATCTCCACTCTCCAATCCGATCTGGATGCTTCTAAAGCCGAGAATCAGAGTTTGTTGGCAGAAGTCGTGCGGTTGCGTGAACTCGTGCGTGAAGGAGCGAGAGAGAAGGAGGAATTACGGGACGTTCTGGACAGTGATCGAAAGAGGTTTGATGCGCTGAGCGTACAAGCCTATGGAAAGATTAAAGAGTTGTTGATGGAGCGACACATCCTGGAGATGGAAGTGGGGACTGTAAAAGCACAGGTGAGACTTCGATCCTTGTTGAATGTGATTTTCTTGTCGCTGTATACCAACGATATGGATCTTTTTTTTTTTTTTTCTAGCTCCAATCACTCGAGTCCCAACATAAAGAATGGATGGAAGCTGATGCCGATGATGAGCAAGAACAAAAGGGGATGTAAAAAGCGGGCTGGAAGTGGATAGACGTGGTTTCTTGGATGGTTATCTATAGACTTGCGCGAAAGCGCATTACGGTAGTTTCTTACTTTTTTTTTTTTATCTCATGCTCCCTATAGACAGCAGAGGATGATCTTTTATAGTTGTGTTTAGGAATATTTTGAAGAATCTAGATAATGGCTTGTATGTGTGGTTCAAAGGAGCAAAGGTTTTTCATACTAGTTTCGTGCATTCACCTACTGTTACAAGGGTCCCCAAACGGCTCGAGTATATTTATTTTACAATAGGCTTTTTATCATGACACAATGCAGAATCCCGTCCTCGAGGAACGTGTCATCATCTACTCTATTGTACCCATGCCGTTCGTAAAACGCAACCTTATCGCATTGAGCATGCAATTCCAACTCTTCTAGACCTATTTCAAGGGCCTCTTCTTCGAGGGCCCCCAAGATACGTGATCCGAGACCTTTTGATCTATATTGTTTCAGGACACAAATGCGCCCTGGCTTTCCTCGTTTACGAGGTCCTGTGTGTTGGGGAAGTGGTAGGAGACGGGCCGTTGCGACGGGGATAGAGTTATGATAGGCGAGAAAGTGAATGCAGTGGTCGTCGTGAGCATCTGGTTCGGTATCTGGCGGACAGTTCTAAAATAACTTTAAAAAATGGGGCGCTATGCTCAAAGACTGATTTAAAAGTAACCTGTTCCTCTACAAATACTTGCACTCTAATGTCGATGGCCTTTTCAAAATCTTGTTTGGATGTTATTTTTCGAATAGAATAGTCGTCCAAACGCTCCATGTTTTTGTGCATGCTTTTTGTTTATCCTTCCCAAATAAGACTTTTGATTAGCGATAAACTGTTCCGATGACTAATCAAGTGAGTCATGCCGTTGCTATGACAACATGAGTGGACGGCAGGCGGACTTTGCAACGCATCATGCGGGGGGGCGTCCCGATTGATTTGCCAAAGGACTTGGACGGGAAGGGCTTTTTTAGGGCGTTTTTTTGTAGAATTACGTCGCTTATCGTTGCTTGCGTTTCGGTTTGATTTCCTGCAGGGAGACAGTTGGTTTGCCTTTAGCGCTTTAGAATATTACAGGAGGAAAATGGGAAACCAACTTTCGTCCTCCTCGTCACCATCGGCGCCGGCTGCGGACTACGATGAAGCTCGCGAGAGCAGTCTTCAAGCAACTAATCACCCGCCACCCGCAGTCGACGACGCATTCCCTAGTATACAGACTTCTTTGTCCACCGACTCCTCTTCGTCTTCTTCGTCTTCTACTTCATCTGCGCAACACAATTCACACTTGTATTCCACTTCAACATCGTCTTCGTCCTCTTCCTCGTCCTCGTCGTCTTCCAACGTACACCGCCACTCGAGTCGTGCCCGTAGGCGCCAACTGTTTAGTATCTCTCCACTTGTTCCGCCTTCTCTCATTTTCAGAAACGAGAGTCGAGGTGTGATGGATGCTCTTGGGGATGGGAATGACAGGAGAAATTTAAGAGTTTTGAGGAGATTGAGGACACCTTCTGAGAGACGTCCTGTGGATTCTACGAGAAATGAAGAGGAGGCTATGATGGACGTTGATCATCAAAACGAGAGTCAGCAGGACCAATCTGTACAAGTTGAGGATAGTCAACGTATGTGGTTACAGCGGATGTGTGCTTGGCAAGTTTTAAATACTTATAAACTTTTTCTTCTTATAGGACCTACCCTGCCCGGTTTTAATGAAATGTTTGGCTTCCCTGGGTCGCAGTCGTGGTCACCCTTATCACCAGCCCAACCACCACCTCCTCTACAACCATCTTCCCCCGCACCTCCACGATCATCAACCGACAGTTCCGTTGGAACATCTTCAAGTGTAGATTCATCGGACGTTCCGGGACTCGCTCGACCAGCCTCCACTATTCGCCGAAGATTTGTCAGAAGTCTATTAGAGGCCATCATGTCTGGGTTACCCTCTGTTGATGGAAGAAATACCACCACTACTAGCAACAATAATACCAGCAGTGCCGGAACGGCAACTGCTACCCCTACCGCGAGCGATAGAATCCAGCCGCCTGCAGGCATGCAGTCTGCAAATTTAACTGATTTGCTACAATTTCTTCGCTCTCCACCTCCGGGTGCTGGCACAATACAAATGTCACCAGCAGAAGGACCAGCGGGCTTGTCATCTTTTCTTAGAGCACTTCGCGGTCGTAGGGGACGAGAGGCCGAGGACGCAGATGGAGGAGCATCTAGACGCAGTCCCGTGCCGGTCTTGATTTTGATTGGACGTGCAGTTCGTCTGGCAAATGGGCAGAGCGTTCCAACAATGGAAGCAAACGCAACGGGTGAAACTGCTCCTGAAGCCGCTGCCCAAAACGCAACGGACGATCGTGCAAGTCGACTCTTTGGAGAGTTGGGTAATGAAGGTAATCCCTCTGTCGCCTCATTTGCTGAGTCGCTCCTTTCAACACCACCAGTGCCAGCGCCTGCGCCGGCTGAAGCAACCCCATCCACGACGAATACTTCTGCTCCTGAACAGCCTGCGGGTGAAGCGAATGCTGAGGGTACACCTGGTCAGGACCCTGCCAACCCGTCCGCTAGGAGGAGTATTCAGTTTATGATCTACTTTATTCCTAATCGAAGGCGAACGGGAGATGCAACTGCTGGCCCAACTGCAGCCTCGAATGTACCCATCCCTGGCGCTTCACCTGAAGCACCGACACCAGTGCCATTGTTTCCTACACAACCTGCCGAAGGTGATTCCCGTGATCGAAATCCATTTGCCGACATTCTAAGCTCGATTCCAGCTGGAATGCCTCCATTGACTCACCTGTTCACGGGAGGACAGAGTACAGGAGCAGTGGATGCTATTCGACCCGATGCCCCGCCAGCCTCAACAAATCTCGATGGCTCTAGTCCTTTTACCATGCCACTTCCCACAACGGATACCCTCAACCCCAATACCACAACAGATACCAATGCAGATCCAGCAACCGCAACCCAACGTCCTGGAGGTCGCAATGTTGTTGAGGACTTTGCCATCACCATTATTCTCCAATTAGTGAGCAACATGTTACGGGAAGGTTCCATGAACGGGCCTGGAGGCCTTTTGGGCGGTACATTGAGCCTAGATATTGCCACCGGCGCTGAAAATGCTGGAAATGGAATGAGCTATGAAGACTTGTTACGATTGGCAGAAGTCTTGGGCCCCGCGCGACCACGTAATGCGGAGCAATCGGATGTAGAGGCGCAGCTACCGACAGTCATATGGCATTCGAATGAAGCTGCTGGGGACGATAAAGATGATGCAAAGGGCAAACAAAGAGTAGATGATACGTCCTCGGTAGTCTCTATGGATATTGACGATCACGCTGAACCAAGGGTCGAGAATCCGGCCAAAGAGGAGAAGGACAAGGATGAAAAGGACGTGAAAACAGAGCCTGTGCAATGGGGTATCAAAGATTTACTGGCATCAACCCGTGAAAAATGCATGATTTGTTTGACGCCGTACGAAGAAGAGGATCAATTGAGGATAATGCGGTGTCGTCACGGGTTTCACAGAGAGTGCTTGGATCAGGTTGGTAATTAGCTGTTGTTTTCTACTTGTCCATCCTCTCGCTGACTCATTTGGAATCCATTTAGTGGCTAACACAATACCATAATTCATGTCCGCTCTGCCGCGACAAAGCTGTTCACAGCCCCGCAAGCCAGGAGGCTCCACCCAACATGTTTGGAGGTCAAACCTTCAACCCACCGTCCACAACCACGCCAACAACAACAACGACAACAACCCAAACATCGCCAACACCTGAGGAAGCAGGGAACGAACCCCGTCGTGGTGGATTCTTGAGACGTCTTATGGATATGTTCCCTGGACGACTGGGTGGCGGTCAGGAACAAACGGCTACTGCTCCGGCTGATGCAAGGCTGGGAACAGACAGACCTGGGTTGCCTGCTGCTGTTATTGTGTTTTTAGGGTAATGAGTTGTCGCTGGGTTAAAGGTTGTTGAGGCCTTTTTTGTACAAAGTTTGGGTCGAATGTGGGGAGATGGCTTTGTGGTGTAGGTCAATGGGGAGGGAAATGTTTCAATCTAGTAGGTTCATACGGTGTGTGGTGGAGGCGTGATGGCATTGTTTTGCTTTTCTTGTATAGAGATGTGTCATTGGAGGGTCAAGAATGTGAATAGCATTTTTCATACACGTTCATTAAAGATTGCCAATGACAGCGAGAATGAATGTCAAGTTAAAGACATGAAAATGAGTATCGCTAAAAACAGATCATCGCCTCGATATCTATTGTCCCAATGTATTCTTACCTTTGGGAACATCGTGCAAAAATAACATATAAACCAAAGATAATAAACTATTTTACAGAGATACAAAAGGAGCCAAAACTCACGTTCTTGCCACACCGAGCAAATCCTCCAACATCCTCCGAAGCATATCGCCTTCCATTCCCCCTGGTCCGCCCACTATGCCTACGAGGTTTTCAATGTCGGCGGACACGGTGCTTTCCGGTTGCGGTGTTCCGAGCGGTGGGTGAGGTGTAGACGGAACAAAGGGTGCAACAGGGGGCGCAGCTATAGATGCAGCAGGTACATTTCCCTCCTTCTGGCTCGCCTTTTTTCGAGCCCTCTCAGCAACTTCACATCCCTCTCTAACCCAATCTGGTATGACATCACAAGCGCTCTCAACTCGCTCACTTCTCAAAAAGTTTCCGGCACAAACGAGGGGAACACCCACATTATCTCTCCGCACCGTAACCGAATATGCACATTTTATTTCCTGTTCGTTGACGATGCCACGGGATTTGCGAAGCGTAGCGAGCCCCATCCATCCTTTTTCTTCTGGATCAAATGCAACGCGTCCAAACCGTTCCCAGTAATTGACGCCGGATTCTTCATTTAACAGTTCGTAGACGCATACTTTTCCTTCGGAGAGGATGGAGAGTGGGAGGCCGACAAGGTCGGCAAAGCTTTGGTTTGCACGGACGATTTCGCCAGTACGGCGCCACAGGGCGGACGGAACACCTTGGATGGAAAAGGCCAGGTCGTACTCTAAACAGAGTCGCTCAAAGATTTCTTCGGAAGCGAGGAGTTCGGCATCGGTGACCGTTCGGGCTAGCGCTGCAAAACCTGTTTGAAAGGCTGAGACGACAGATAAGATGCGTTGGCGGGACATTGCTGTGCATTGCGTTGAGAGGTGGTGTCCCAGTCGAGCGTAGCCGGTTGTGTAATCGTGGGGATTGAGAAGCCCGGCGCTGCGTTTGGCGTCCAACACGTGAGCTAGCCGGTCACTAGCCTGGAAGAGGTTTGAAGGTTGATCACCGGCGGCCGTCAGGTAAAACTTTTCGAGGGTGGTGAAGGGACAGGTCATACACCGGGAGCTACCTTTGCCTGTGCATGCGTGGGGAGCGGAGGATGTCGGGAGTTCGTCTCCGGTGGTAGCAGAGACGGCTGACCAGAGTTCGGCCAGAGCGGCAAATTCGGATCCAACTGAGGCGCTGGCGAAAAAGTTATTGGGGGGTTGAGGGAAGCTTGGTGCCGAGTATACAAAGTTGGCACAGGGCTGGGCTTGCTGAGGACCGGATCCCAGTTGCTGTTGCTGTTGCTGATGTTTTGATGAGGTTGATGGCGGTGGAGGTGTGTCATTGGTAATCGTTGACGGAGCCAGAGATGTGTGAGTTGAGTTTGGCGTCCCTGGTGTGACAGATCTGGACCCTGGATTAGGTGAAAAGGACGGATGCGATTGGTATGGCGAGGAAGGTGTAATTTCTCGCTTGGGAATTACGTGTTCGTCAAATACAGGTGATTGTCGAGGGGGTGGTACCGTGGTGGAGTGTGATGCAAAAGATAGTAGTCCGGGTGGTAGGGCAGAGAGATTTGCGGATGGGAGTGGAGTCTTGAAAGTAGCTTCTGCCAGTGCGGTGAATGGTTGCTGGATGCTGGGGTTGAAAGATGCTGTGCCGTTAAAGGCCACATTAGAGTTTAGGCTGGTTGAGGTAGACGGTGCGGGAGTAGGAGGCACTATGTCCTTCCCATTCAATAATCCAACAAACGAGAGCTGCTGGGATGCGAAAGGCTGCAATGATGAAAGTGCGGTGGAAGAGGTAATAGTGTTGCCTGATGTGGTGGTTGTAATCGACGGACTTTCCGTGGTCGCACTCACTGGTAGCATGTCCCCAGCTAGCGGTGTTGATGGAGCACTGCCTGCAGATGCAGACATCAGCGCACCGCCCACCGTCTCAATTGTCAAAGGCGGCGTCAGCCCAATAGCAGCTAATGGCCCCGATACCAATCTTGGGGCCAACTTAAATTCCGTCGAACGGGATTTGACTGGTGCAGGTCGGATAGTTACGGGGCAGGTATTGCAGGGTTTGGGTAGTTCTCCACGTTTCGGTGCGTCCATGCACAGATGTGCCATGCCCTTTCTAACGCATCTCCCACATGGGCGTGCCTCGTCGCACGACATGTGGGCTTTGCGACAGAGGATACATGCTTGACACACTTTCCTTCGTTTGCAGTCCTTGCGCACGATTTCTTCACCTGATGCTGTAGTGCCTGTAGATGTGACGCTTGAGGGCGGCCGGTCAATCCCGGGTAGAGATCCAAGTAGGAGACATTCACCGGCAGATTGGGCTTGGGCTTGAAAAATAAGCTGTTGCTGTTGCTGCTGAACTTGCTGCTCGACCCGTGTTGTTACTGGATTCCCATCAATTCCCACGGGACAGCCTTCAACGGTCTTTCTTGCAGCATCCACTTTTTTCCTCAATGCTGCTGTTTTCTTCTTCACCTTGCCAGCGCCACTAGCCCTACTCTCTCCCTCTCTATGTATCACAGGCCCACTCTGACGTTTTCTCTCATCCTCAACCTCGACAACAACTGTCTCCTCAAATCCCAATCCTTCCTCAAACTTGCCCATGTCGACCATTTCACGGAACATGGCATCGAGATCCTCAATCTGCACCATGCCAGGAAGTGATAAAAGATCGTCTGTAAAGTCATGGTGTTGCTGGAGGTACTCTCGTGCGACATTGGAGGGAAGACCTTGTGGGTTGCCACAACCAAGTCGTCTATCGCCGATGGGAATAAGGGGAATGGTCGGTGAGCGCTTGGAGGAAGTGCCTTGGGGCGGACACATTCTGGAGGTGAATGTAACAAAACTGACTATTTTAAAAACGGAGAAGTAATCGGATTCGATTGTATCATTTGGATAAGGATGGGTATCAGGAAAACAGCCCCTACATCGTTCAGGAAACAAAGATCAGCACAGCAAGCCAGATCTCGCAGTTCACTCGCAACATCTACCTTTGCTCTTGAACCTCTCACTACAAAAAAATCAACGTCCAAAACCCTCCCCCAACAAGCACGCTGGAGCCCTAAAAAATAAGGATAAATTCCTGCAATCTCTCCCAATGGAATTGAGAAATTCCCCAAAAAACTTGAACGAAAGCCCATCAGCGGAAACTTTAAATGGGGAGCGGGAGAATTATCCAATGAAATCAATTGTGGCACAGTCATACAAATCTCGCGACTAAGCATTAGCCAAGCCACATCAATCGTAAGCAAACCGATTTTGCCCTTCATCGTTCTTGTACTGGTGTCGGGCAAGTTGCATCAAGCCATAAACATAGCATTACTGCCGACACACTGCGCCAAATATCCAGAATAGACTGATAGTGAACATGTCCAGATCCAAATGAGATTCTGCCAAAAGCATTCAATCTGCTTGGGATACCACCACGGGAAGCGTTTTCGATACGAGTTCCATCTCATTTGCAGTGCGAGCATCAATTCAATCCCGGCACAAATGCCGCTCCAATAAGCAAGCACGCATCATTAATACAAACGATAAACAAAAAATTGGTATCTATTAAGTCATTAAAATCAGTACGCAAACAACTATCTAAGAATGCACAACTAACGTAGGACTTGACTCCCCCGCTCCCCCTCCCTCCAAAAACTATCCCCCCGTTCCAAAGCCAACTGAGAATTGGAATGCGGAGCCAACTGAGAATTGGAAAGCGGAGTCAAGAGGACAGCTGTCGAGTTCTGGTTTACCACGGGTTTGTTGTTTGATTTAACGGTGCCAGAGCGGGTTGAAGAGCGCTGCCCCGCTTGTTGGCCTTGAAGAGAGGCGGAGAGGTTGTTGGAGGATCGAGCGCGAGATTCTTGTTTATTGACGATGAGGCTATAGAGTAAGTCGGTTAGTACTGACCAACGTCGAAGAAAAAACATAATACACATACTTGTAGGTAGCGGTAATGAAAATCGGATACGTCATGAGCGCCGAGGCGAAAATCCAGTTGAACCCGAAAAAGATAGCGGCTGGCAAGAGGGAAAGGATCTTGACACGGAGGATGCCGTAAAAGAAAAGGACGGCGCCGTACGAGACTTCCATGCAGAATGTCCCGCCCAAACTGACAATGAGCTGCCATGCCACAGAAAGGAAGGATGAGAATCGAATGGTTTCAAAACGCTATGCTGTCTATTCATTGAGAAACCTACCATCATGATAGCTCTCCGGAACTCATTGTTGACACCTCCATCGGCACTAGCCACAGCCTCCACATTACTCCTCAATATCAGCAGCAACTTCAACCCAAAATAAATCGCCAACATTCCCAACAAAATAGTGTACAACCCCCATAGCACGTAATGGATTTCATTGTATGTTGCAGCCAGTTCATAGTTGCCATTATCGCGAGCGATGCCGTCCAGGAGGGCAAAGAGGGGGAGGGTGATGGTTGGCACGAGGAGATAAACAAAGAGCAGAAAATTCAGGAGACGGGGGGAGGGAAGGCGGGAACGGGAGATGATGGAAACGTCTCCTGAGCGTTTAGAGCCAGTGACGTAGGACTTGGGCGTTGCGTAGATTCTAGATGGTACATGATCGACATGAGACTTCTTGCAGGTCCCACCCAGATTGATATCGAAAGAAACAACTTACATGCCAATGGTGAAGTACACTCCAGCATGCCACAATGCAATCCATGGCCAATCATGCTATCAGACAGTCCATCAGTCCCAACTCAACAAACAATCGAACATGGAAGCAAAAGAACTCACGAAAAACTCTTTGACGGCATTACTCTTGAACACATCCGCCGCAATCAAAGTTGTGTAGATGAACCGGCCAAAGATATGAATGGTCGCGGGGAAGATGAATCCCTCCGTCGCGCGGGGCTTGACGGCTCCATCAATGACATCGAAAATTCCTAACCCCTGCTTCCAAAGCCGTTGGTAGATTTTTTTGTATATGAGGTAAAGACCGAGACCTGTTGAATACCATTAGCAAACTTATTCTTGTTGATCAAGGATGATGCAAGTACATACAGAAGAGGGGCAGGGCAATAATGGAGTGCACTGTTGAAAGCGAAAAACAGTGTCAGACAACAGCATGTGTAAAAAGACTCACACCAAAGCAAAACCGACCGATATAAAACGTTTTCCACATTGTGGCATGCTTGCAACCGCTCACACGAACTGTTGACCGAAGGGTTAACACATATTGACCATACTGCACGACGTAGCACGAACACTCACATCGAAAATCACACCATTCCGTTCCAAACCACTGCACAATCGACCACAAACCATTAGTATGGACGTTCTATACGCACAGGCACCCGATCAAGGCCAAAAGCTCGAGCACCGTACCTCATCCTCCATGTTGAAAATCAAAATATGCAAGCACCCCAACAACCAAGGGAAGACTCAAGACCTCGCAAATAAAAATGTCCAAAAGGCTACAAAAAAAAACTACCTCACAAAACGGGAACAAGATAAGCTAAACCAGTTTTAAAATGTTTGGTCAGAGGTATCCCCTATAGCCTGTCCTTTCCATAAAAAAGCCCCATTTCATTCATCGACCGTTAGGTTACCGAACGGATCTAGAAAATCGGTCACAAAAAAACGGTCCAAAAATAGTAACACGAGTCCCACCAACCAGTCTCCAAAAAATGTTGGACAAACAAACTTTTGTCGGCCAGAGACAAAGAAAAAGCTTTCTTGTCTATCCAATCGGTCGCAAACAATTCTAAAACTTGGGACGTGGCTAAGGTGCGTCTCGCGTCTTTTTGAGGGGCACCTCCGCCGTTTCCCCGCATCCCGCGCGGCCCCACCACCGTCGATCGCATTCCGGTCCGCATTGTGTACCAAAATAAAAGCACGCGTCCCATCGATATTCAAAACAATGATTTGGACATATTGAGCATCGAAACATAGCGCATGGCGACATGTTGACCTATGCAAAAAGGAGCACTTCAAACTAATTCCAAAAATACACACACGCGAACATAAAGCTGTGACAAAATCTCCCACCTATACGCGCCTGCGACACCATCAGCTTACCAATAAAAGTGCGCCCAGCCGCTCGCAAACAAAAATGAACGACATTTACTGAATGCAGTAGCAAACAAGTGGCACTTTTTTCCGTGGTTGGAGCCATGGACTTTGATTGTAGTGTTCATACGATTTATTCATTTAGGGTAAATATATTCCGTGGACACTTGCTCTATAGTTCTGTTTGCCTAAAAAGGACGAACGAGTTGAAGCTTGCAGCCGCCCCAAATGACAATCATTACAATTGGACTATGCAGGTCCGCGCTCCAAAAAGACACAAATCATGCTTCCTCGTCTTCTTTTTCGTTTCCATGCATTGGCGAGTCCATTGACCTCCCATCTTCACCATCCTGTGAGCCAAATTAATTAGATGTGTCCACGCGGTGGGTACATTGCAAGTTATGGCATTGACTCCGGCTCCGTGTGATGGTGGGCGCGAGTAGACGAGCCTGTCTGTGCGCTTTTTGCTTTCATGGTTGCCAGATATGCGCGCGCTCTTGCAAGTCGCTCTGCTTTGAGTTTTGTAGGATCTGTCATCTGGGAGTTTGTACTTGCATGGGACGTTGGTGCAGTGTCATTTGCCACAGTCGTTTGACCCTCATGAACGGAGTGTCCATCGCGTCTGCTTTTGTAGTACATATGAAACTCGTTCCATGGGAGTAGGAACGCAAACCGGGGGTCACCGCGATTCTTCTCCTTGACTTTGGCTTCAAACGAAGGCCCATTCCGCGCCACAAAGGAGGCCATTTTGTCAATGATGGTTTGAAGGTCTGGTGGTGGGATACTAATGTCCCTGTCAGGGAGTATTCTAATGTTTAGGGTTGTATTTTGTACTTGCCTCATGGCCGCCTGTGGGAGTCCGCCTCCTCGGAAAGCAGTCCACGTTAGCGGTGCCGTTGAGAGATCAGGAGTAGCTGGAGCATCCTCAGGTTGATGAACTTGTTGTTCCTCATCGTCGCTATCGCTATCGCTACCGTACGCAGTTAACCCAGCCAAACCCGATTTCAGGACTGACCGCACGTGTTTGTAATAAGGATGCAAGCTGTGCTGCATGTGCAGAAACCCAAAATCGGGGTTGGTGGCTTGTTTGGCTTGGATGAGGACCTCCATCTGGGGGTTTGTGCTGTTATTGATGAACGTTGCTGTTTTCTCGATAATGTCTGCTATACGTTGGTTGGACGGCTGATGTGGGTAGCTTCAGCAAATGAGGGACCACAATTGCCTGACACGTAGAACATATACCGTGATCATGGCAGCCGGTACTGCATACTTGAGTTGGACCTTTTGGTCCGCGTTCAAGATCTCCGTCTCCCCCATCTTGCCCATAACATTACCATCTCCCGGCCCATAATCATAATAAATCTCCTTCTTGTTCTCCTCTAATCCCCGTCTTCGCTTCTCCTCCAAGTACTCCACCCTCTCGTCCTCCGACATATCAAACAGCGTCTCCTCCTCCGAATCCACATCCCGATACCGCTCCTCGTCGCACAAATCCTCCTCTGAGTCTGCTTCTGGAATCTGACAAACAGGTTGATCACATATGGCAAGATCGTCAAGCAGGTTGCGGACGTCGAATCTGGTGTTGTCAGAGAAGTGCCAAAGATGGGTGTATCAGATATCCGTCTTAGCCTCTGTCTCAGTTGATTCAAAGTTTATTTGGTTACCGTAATATAGCGAGCGCAAAAGCACTCGCATAACCCTGCATCAGTAGACACTAACTTTTTTGTAGTTCAAACCCACAATTGGATAGTTCCATGCCACATTGCAAGCATAACCCATCTTATGACCTCACGTTTTTGTTTAGGCATTACCTATCCATCCACACCCCATTCTCTTCGTCATGCCATGGTTGCAGAAGAGACTCGACCGTCTCTGCCAAAGCGTCATTTCGAAACAATGTGCATCCGTAGCCGAACACAAGAAGCTCGCTGTGGTGCGCTGATGGATTGCGTGTGGTGCGATCTTGTTTTTGAGAATGGGACATGCGGGGTCGTCTTGATTGCTTGTTTGCATACACGAGTTCATCATGCCGCAAGCTGTTTATAGGATCCACGTGACTTTGGACATTGTCTCCATCTTTGTTTTTGGCAGGTCACAGCCGTGTTTCCGGTCGCATAACTATCGGCGTACTCTAACCCCATAGCATGTGAATAGAATGGTGAATGCGTCAAGTGGGAAGCATGAAACTCTCAACCAGAAGATGATTGATGAACAGGAGGAGTGTTTTACTGGAAGAGTCCGAAACATGCCACGGAACAGAAAGGCCACAACCAGGCTACCAAATCATCCGTCAAGCCGCACCGAGGATTCGATGGCCCCACCAATCTTTATGTATCAGAATTACACGAGCCAAAATCTGAAGCGGGCTGCGTTTGAACTGGTATGCGTCAAGTGCAACCAAAACATGCTTTTGGCAGACGTGGTTGGATAGGAACCTTGGAAAATGTGAAAAGCAACAAGCAACGGACAAGGAAGTTCAATTAGACCACAATCGCACCTTTGGCGTTTTGTGAGGCCTTGATCTTGGCGTATGCAGCGCACAGCGTAGGTGACAAAAGGTCTGAACCTGACATCGCAGTCAAGCCCGTGCGTAAAGCGTCAAAGGGCATGTGTTTCCCTTGTCATGTCACCCCCATCTTTGGCGCACCAGTTCATCAAGGATCGGAGACCAGGTTGCCGGGTCTAATGTGGCGTTTATGAACCTAAAAATTTTAATGAAGCCGGGTCCATGGTACGCGTATTCCATGATCTCTCACCGTTCATCTTCCAAAAGCTGGCGAGGACGACGCCATGGACCACTGCACAGGCCCGCAAACAGTGCAAGCGTACACGAAGAAGCCGGATCAAAATGTTTTCTAGCGAACAAGTGCAACGGATCAGTTGGGTTCGGCGCAGGTAAAAACGACCCCCCAGAGGTGAGATGCATGCAGTCCAGTTACTCGACTTTTGCAATGACTCCCAACATTGCACACGCTGTAGTGTGCAACAGTCTTGTTGGGCGGTAAGCGGAGGATTACAGGATTGTAATCTATGATTACCAACTACCGGTTCTGGGCACAACCACCCGTGACGTTTTCATGGCGGAATGCGTAGACATGCGTAGCCACATGCAAGTTCAAGCTCCATGCCAAGTGTAATTCCCCCATCTTTATGAGCAAAATCGCAAAGAAAAAAATAACAGGGGGCACTGCATACGTTGGGGTTTGTAATAGCCGGGGATTGTTTGCATCCTGCCAATATCGCTCATCCCGCTGTTGGCATGCGTGACAAAACTCTGGTGGTTCTGCATGCCAAATGCGTAACCTCTGTTTTGAAGGCCGAAACGCTGCACTTGTTTGGAGAAGGCGCGTTCTTGGGGAAGAAGCAATATCCTATGCACGTGACCAGTAATTTGGACGGGAAGATTGATATCGAGTGGGTTTTATTTTAAGTCAACATTCCGTACTGGGTTCTAGGAGTCGTTGAAACAGCGTCGCTTTGTACCTTTGGTTCTTTATCATGCGAGTTACTGGGATCTCACATTTGTTTAAGGTGGAAGACAAGTGGCAGAGAATTGCGTCTCGTTTGTTGATCCTTGTTAATTTCATTCACTTTAGCAAGCTTGCTCTTCACCGGCACACTTCCGCGAAGGCTCAGGCACGTAACCACCCGAGAAACAGAGAGCGATGCGTTTGTTGGCGCGGTGGTTGCTTCTCTGGCTGGGGTTCGCGCTTTTGGCAGAGACGGTATACGCAGATCACCGCAGAAACAAGAATTGGAAGAACAACAACAACAATAACAATAACAAGAAGCAAATCTCCACTGTGCAAAAGAGACCCACTGCAGTAGCAACTACCAAAGAATCTGCTCCAGTCACCATCATTTATGTTATTACTTCTGTCCCTCCTGATCCGCCCGGTGGCCTGCCGACGGGTCCGCCTTCACAGAACGGCGCAACGAAAATAGGGTCACCGAAGACCCCGGCCATGACACCTCTCATGGCAAAGTCAAGGGCGCAGGATGCAGAACCTACTCGCAGTCCATTTCCTATTGGAGCACAAGCACCCCCTCCCGCTCAGCCTTCAACCGCCATTCCTGAAATCATCAATAATCAGAAAGTGGCAGCAATGCCTGACATGGTCAGCAAAGGCACCGCGACCTCCTCAGATTCACCGAAAGTAGGCTCAGCAGTCGTCGTCTTCCTGGTAGTGGCAGGAGCTGGGCTCCTCGTTGCCGCTATGGGGATCTACACATTTCGCAAAGTGGGTCTTGCTCAGTCCCAGGGGTTCAAGGACAGGCTGAAGCGGAGGGTCACGTATGGGGGACAGGGAGTTCGGTCGCATCATCCAAATGGGACGGTGATGCGCATGTATAATGAATACGACGACGGTACGATGATACGGGGGATGCAGGAACACGGGACAATACGAACCCAAGGCACAATGCGGTCTATGGGAACAATGCACTCACACGGGACATTGCCCTCTCATTCGTATCCGCCTAATGTAGAATATATGGGTCAGCCATCTGATTTGGACTATGCGCAGCCTCCACACGCGTATCGATATGACCAACATGTGCTGGCTCCACCGCATCTACAGCATACATCGCCAGAGATGCCGCCCAAATATCGGTATGAGGGTTTGTAGGGGAGGAGCGACCGGTCGGGCCGATGGGGGTCGAATTGGTTGCGATATACCGAGGGCAGCAACAGAGGAGAAAGAAGAAACCCCGGGAGATGGGAGATTGGCTTGTAATGGGCGTTCATCTAAAACTTTGGTACTTGCTCATCTTGATATTCAAGAACACGTTCCAGTTCGTAGTCCCTATCCCTTTTGTAAATGTATATATCCATGTAAAAAGAAACCCATATCTACAGTTCCATTCATTCGCATGTCCCAAAAATACACTTGCACATGCCAAATATCTTTGTTCACTCCAATATCCATAAGAAAAAAGACCGAAACCTCCGATATCAATATCAGATATTCGTAAACAAAAAAGAAACAAACATGTTTACCAAGGGCAAGCCAAGCACCCTTCTTGATGAGTGGCACAGTCATTTAGAATCACGTGGTAACTTGGGTCGGCGTCGTCGTTTGCGGTGAAGCTGGCTTTGGGCTTTTCTTGGGGCTGTTTTTTCTTCTGGTTGTTCTTGTTATTGTGTGCTGGGAGCGAGTTTTTGTTATAGGAAGGAACCCATCGACGACGACGGGACGCTTGTGGTTTGTGAACGTTGCCCTTTGGCTAGTGTGAGTGTGTTACTTTTGAGGGCTTGAAAAGGCCTACAAGAAATGGGTCATCTTACATGTGTTCCACTTGCAGGTGTTTATTGGTTTGGCATTTTCTTGGTAGGGGGCTTTAGAGTGGTATCTTGCAAGGTACGTGATGTGAAACCATTGGTTCTAGCGGGTTTTGGAGGATGGCAATGTGTGCATGAGATGGTATTGAATGGGAGATGACACATGACAACCCGCTATTGACCATGGCAAAGACTACACGCAATGGGGATATGCTAAAGTGCGGGTGCCTTTCTTGTTGTTCAGAGTGCACACGGAATTTGTACTCGTCAGCACAACATTGAACACGCGCACGTAACATTCACATTAGCAGCGCTCAACACAATCCCACCTTTTCGTCGCGTCCGTCACCTCACCGTTTCAATCACCTGCTCTGGCCGCCCCACACTCCCTCCCCTCGGCCCACCATGGACCGCGGAGGTCCCGTCGCTCAAGGACACTTGTCGGTAGCCTCGTCTGCCAGCGGCCGATTCCTCGAAGATTTACTCAACGAGTACAACTACGCGTCGAATGCGAACAGTCCAAATGGGAATACACCCAGCTTGACCCCGGCAAACTTGTCTCCCGCGACAAGCACGTTGGCATCGGATGATGATGGGTGGAAGGAAACCGGATTTGGGAACGGTCGGCGTTTTTATCAGTCGCAAGGACGCGAACATGAAGGAGAGGCTGTATACCCGCCGCCGCCCCCGCCCCCACAGCACGATCTCCCCCCTCCTCCGACTCATCCAGCACAATTGCATTCACATTTAGCACAGAGACATTTGCAGCATTCATTACCGGGGTTCACATCTCAGACGGACTCCCAAAAGGGTTCCCAAACGGGCTCCCAAACGGGCTCTCAAACGGGTTCCCACTCAGGTTCGCAACTTGCGTTGCAGCCGAGTTCACAACCGGCTTCACAGCCCGCTTCACAGCATGGCTCTCAGCAAGGTTCGCCACACATGGGTGCACAACGCAACATGCCCGATACTGGGTACCGTCGTGGACCATCGGAGCAGGCTATAGTAGCAGGTCTACGCGATGAACCGCATTCGAGAGCCTCTGAAGAGGATTCACGACCGTCGAGAGGGTGGCTGCGGGGTAATCTCCGTGTTCACCTCCGCGGACGCTCTACGGAAGATCTTGGACGGCAAGCGCATTCATCGGACCACAACGGTCCGACACAGCGCAAAGGCTCAGCGGCGAGCGCAGACATGATTCCGGGGACACTGTCAAGTACCAGTTCGACTCTCCCGTCCGTCACATCCCAAGCCCTTTCAACCACTTCCGGATCCATGAACTCTGCCAAATACTCTGGCAGCCCGCCGAAATCCAGTCGCTCCTTTTTCGCCGCCGGATCCAGTCGTTCCCGCGGACACTCTCGCGAACGCTCCCCGCAACGCACAAAACCTCTCACCCCCGACCTGTGGAACCCCGACACTCCCCATAAAGAAAAGAAGCCCCCATCCATCACCCCAGACAAGTGGAACACGGAACACAAGGAGAAAAAGAAGCTGTTTTGGAATCCGTTTGGCAGAAAAAAGGGCAAAGACTCTGATCATGCTACGGAAAATGTTGTTGTGTTGCGAAAGAGTGAGGGGAGCGCGCCGTCTTCGAGGTCTGAGGCGACGTCTGTTGTGACAAGGGATTCATCTACGGGGCACTTGACGCCGACGAAAAAGTCAAAGCATAGTCGGGTATGTAATGTGTATCATTGAAGTTCTCTACGAAATTTCTCAATTTTCTTTGTAGAGCCGAGAAGGATCACGGAGAGATGAAAAGCGGCTTCAACGTAAGTGTACTGTCCATTGCTCAGCCTTCGCGCTCTTCTGACCGTTTCCCGTAGTCGACCTATCCAATTTCTCCATGGACCCCTCTTTTGTCCCGTATGACCTCGTTTCTCCCCTGTCCCCTTCCTCTGGCCATTCGGGCCTCGTTCCCACACCGATAGGCTATTCCCCCGAAAAAATGCCCAACAATCTCCCCGCACCACAACCCCCACCGTCTTCCGGGCCTTACACTGTTTCTTCCGCAGGTGCCCACGTCCTTCTCTCTCAAGCCACTTCCACATGGCAACCACCTGAAAGCTGGGGAACGCATTTGGATAGCGAGGGTGCGCGGACTTTGACTCCTCAGGAGGCCTGGACACAAGCGTTGACGAGTACGGACCATGCTTCTGTGCGGTCTGTCCCGACGGGTGGGACGATACCCTCTGCTTCGAGTATGGGAGAGTTGCGCACGCCCTTTGAGGAGTTGCCGCCTTTTGATGATCGAGGGGATGGAGATAGTCTAAGAGGAAGTCAAGAGAAGCTATATGACGAAAAATTGGTAAGTTCACAGCGAAAATAAACTATATCCTCGGGAAGGAGACAATGAACTCTTTGAACCTGGTGCATAGTGCGCGTTTAGGCTGTTTCGCCGGGACGGAACTTTTGCGACTATTTCGTGCCGTGAATCGACCACAGCAGGCGAACTACTTATCATTATGGCCAAAAAGAGTCTTATATCAGATTTCTCAAGGTTTAATATTTGTATTGTGCGCAAGGGGTCGGGTAAGTTGCTTTGTCGTTTTTGAAATGACTGAAAGGAACATGCACCGATTATTTATATTTTTTTGACAGAACGCATTCTGGGCCGAACCGAACGACCGCTCGTAATTCAGCGACGTTTGTTCGAGCAGCTAGGATATGTGGCGGCAGACAAGATCGAGCTATTAGGACGCGAAGACAATTCTTATTTGTGTCGGTTTGTTTTCAAGGAGATTTCAACCGGAACTGAGATTGTGAGTTGCGCCGTAGCCTAGATCGTTCCTATGTGCTTTTTAAATTTTTTATTTTCGTTAGCATCCGGATTATTGGCGATCCCCCGCCTTCAACACTTCCCTCGTTTCCTTGTCCGGTTTCAACATTTCCACCGTCCCCGTCGCATTGTTTCATTTCGCTAGTGAAATTCGATACCTCGACCTCTCGCGCAACCTCAACATTCAAGACCTCCCCAACGACCTTGCCCAAGCCATGGAATCGCTCCGCGCGCTGTCTTTAGCACGGAACGAAATCGCCCGTGTACCAAAATCACTGAAATCGCTTCGAACGCTTTCAGAGGTGGATTTGTCATACAATCGGATTACTTCTCTCGAAGGAACAGGACTTGAATCTGTGGCTGGATTGACGAAGCTGCGTTTGGGTGGTAACTTGATTGACCGGATTCCAGAGGACCTATTACGGGGATGCCAGAAATTGGAGCTGCTTGACTTGTCGAATAATCGGTTCAGGTCCTTTCCGGTAGATTTGTGCCGGTATTTGGGTCTATCGCTCAAGCACCTTGACCTCTCCTTTTGTCGCATAAAAGCGAAGATCCCCGATGCGATTGGCGAGCTGCGTCATTTAATTTCGCTACGGCTGGCTGGCAATCGTATGTACGGAGGTCTTCCGTGGCGTTTGGGTGAGCTTCAGGATTTGCGTGAACTTGATTTACGTGGCAACTCGTTTGGGAATGCAGGTGGGGAGGAATCAATGGTCATGGAAGTTTTATGTCGGTGTAAGAAGTTAGAGACTGTGCAGCTGGACGCGAACCGGGTTCGGTGGGTTGGAAAATGGAGTGATTGGAATACTGATCGGCGGACAGAGGAATCTGATAATGATTCGTCTGAAGAAGCCACGGAGTCAAAGTCTCTCGAGTGTCCCAATCTGAAACACCTTTCCATGAGTTTCCAATTTGACCCCCACAATGACCGGTCCATGGTCTTCCGACTCGTTAATCTCTCTGGATCGCTCTCTGAATTGGATATCGGATATTGTGGGATTGAGGCCCTCCCCAAGCGCTTCTTTCAGCGACTTCCTGGAGTACAGGTTCTCAATCTCTCTGGGAACAGACTTAAAGAGCTCCCGGATTTCACAGCTCACAAAACATCCGAGCCAGTCCGTCTGTCTCTTCGAGAGCTGCATGTCGCCAATAATTATTTGGAATACCTCCCAGATGATATCGGCGAACTGATCAAACTCCAGTACCTGGACGCCAAAAACAACAATCTCCGCGAACTCCCTGCTGGCATTTGGCGCTGCAAGAGTCTTAAAATCCTCAATGTGACTTCCAATCGTCTTGAAATCTTTCCGACGCCGCTACCAGAGGATGGTACCGTCCTCGTCTCAGGACAAGTCGTCACATTTGGACGCGGAGGTGCATTTTCGTTTGGCGGAAGTTTCGGGGAACGAGGGGGAGTTTTGAATCTTTATGGACGCTCTCCTGGGCAAGCTGATGAATTCACGATGGCGCAACCTCCTACTGCTACACCTTCCTCACAAGTCGTGACTCTCCCCCCACTTTCTCATTCTCTTGAACAACTCTATCTTTCCGAAAACCATCTTTCTGATGATCTCTATATGGCCCTGTACCACCTCCCCAACCTAACTATCCTCCACGCCTCCTTTAACGAAATCACCGATATAACTCCCTGGGTCGTCGCCATCCCCGTTCCGATCCCAATGACACCCTGGTTCCAGAAACTGGTTGAACTCCATTTATCAGGCAATCTCATCGCGACTCTCCCAGGCGAGATTGAGCGCATGCGGAGTTTGAAGTTGCTATTTTTGAATGGGAATAAATTGAGTACGGTTCCGGGTGAAGTTGGCAAGTTGAAAGGGCTTGAAGCGCTTGACTTAGGGAGTCAAGTTGGTGGACGCGGTGAGGGAACGGGGTTGAGGTATAATGTCTCGAATTGGCCGTATGATTGGAATTGGTGAGTTGTGTATTTTGCTCGGTGAAGACGGTGATATTATAGTGTATTGACATGTTATCGGTACAGGAACTGGAACTTGGATCTCAAGTACCTCAACCTTTCTGGCAACAAGCGTCTGGAAATCAAGCCCTCTACTAACAACGCCTCCAGTTTCCTTACGGACTCTGTGCCCGCTGGGAACACGCCCTCCCCTGCCGCTGCACACAAGATTGGAGCCCGAGGCGGCGCCATCCAAGCTCCAGCAACATCCGGAGCATTGGTCGCAAATCCCTCCCAACGACGGAGAGATCTAACGGATTTCAACGCTTTGACCAATTTGCGGTTGCTGGGGTTAATGGATGTCACGTGTTTGATTGTTCCGCCGGATGAGAGTTCGGAGAGGCGGATTCGCACCACCGGGTCTGAAGTCCCCATGGTTGGCATCCCATCTGGTTCGGTACGGTACGGTGTCGCAGACTGCTTGACGCGGCCCAATCCCAAAGACGTTATCCCCGCGATTGGATTCACCACCACCCCCAACACGACTCGTGAGGGCGATGCAGATACATTCGAAGTATGGGACCTTGTTGTTCCCAAGTTCCGGGGGAAAGATAATGAAGCGCTTTTTGCCGTTTTCGACGGACGCGGTACGCATGGTGGTGCGCGCATGGCTAAATATTTGAATGAGTGGTTTGGATGGTTTCTTGCCAATGAATTGGAGAAATTGGAAAAGGAGCCATCGCATGGGCGGGAACGGCATTCTGAGGTGGGTGGGGTCAATTTAGGTTTGACGAAAAGTCCCACAGGTGATTCCGGTCCCTCTCCTGGGACTGGGAACGCTACCGGAAATGCCTCAGGCAATCGATCCGCACCAGGCAGTGTCCGCCATGTACCTCGACAGCGTACACCCATCCCTGCTGACACGACCCGCTCTGGCGCGCTGGACGCAAATGGGATCACAACGGCTCTTAGACGAACTTTTATTGCCGTGAACCGCGAGTTAGGGAGCATGGGAGACGAAATTGACGATGCGACTTCGTCTGGCCCACAAGCATACCACCACCAACCCAGGAGTTCCTCTGAATCCAAGCGATGGGACCAAACCATGGGACGCTCTAAAAACGGCAAAGGGCACCCAGGCCTTCTGTACGGCGCGTCAGCACTGGTCGTCTTTTTACATGGATCCCCTCACAGACGCGCTGGTGCCAAGTGTACATTGTATATCGCGAACGTGGGAGACGGTATGGTGGTCATGTCCAAGGCGGGCGGTCTCGCTCAAGTCCTCGCCAAGCACCATGTATTGGATTTGGCGGGATTGAGTCGAGCAGAGGCGGGAAGGCTGCACGCCAAGATGGCGGCTGCTGCCGCGGCTGCTCCGACAAGTGGTGGGAATCAACCCACAAAACGATCCGACGCAGAGCTCGAAAAGCGTTCACTCTATGCCTCGGACCCCATCCCATGGTCCCTTTCGGAAATAGAGCGCGTGCAGAACGCAAGCGGATGGTTTGCTTCCTCTGGGAAATTAGAAGGCGAAGTGGATCTCTTGCGTGGATTTGGCTTCTTTCCGTTTTTAGGTGCCGTGAATGCCGATCCATGGATTCAGACTGTGGAATTGGAAGTGGGAGATGATGAGGAACTGTTAAAACGGGAAGAGAGCGTGGAATCGCGAAAACATCACCTGGCTGCACCGAGTGTCGAGGATGAGAGTGGTGTTGATGCGGGTGCAGGCCAGCATCCTGCCGCTGCTGCCACTTCGGGGGGCGGAGATGAGTTTGTGGTGTTGGCTAGTGGCGCCGTTTGGCGGGCCGTGAAGTGCGGTGGAACGTACGAAGACGGTGCGCAGATGGTGGTGGACATTGCTCGGTCAGCGGTTGCACCGGCGAACCCCACGGGGGCAGGTACAGCTACGGGAATGACGGTCTCTGGCAGTGTCGGCGGAACGCCCTCCTCCACCGGCATCGGCATGACAAAGAGCTCTTCCAACCTCGCTGCCCATCAACAACAGAGCCCCAAAACATCTGGAGGGTGGAGTACCGCCGCGATGAAGGTTCGCGATGTGGCGCTGTCACTTGGTGGTGGACGCGTTGGAGGTGGGTATCTGGTCATGGTACTTGGGTTGAGAGACTTAGCCAAGAAGAGTGCGTGGTGGAATGCGGCGGGCGCTAGACGCGGGAGTGCAGAGAGCTCGAGTGAGAGCCTCAGTGTTGAGGATCGGACGCGACGAGAAGGCGGAAGTGTCAAAAAGGGCAAAAAAACTGGTGAGGAGGTGGATTTACTCGTCAAGGAGATTGCACCCCCAATTGGACGTCTTGCTTTGGTGTTTACCGATATCAAAAATTCGACTTCCATCTGGGAGAACAATCCTGTCGCCATGCGAGCTGCTCTCCGTCTCCACCACACGGTCATGCGCCGTCTGTTGCGCCAAACCGGGGGATACGAAGTCAAAACCGAAGGCGACGCCTTTATGGTCTCCTTTCAAAATATTGCCAACGCAGTGGATTGGTGTTTGACTGTCCAAGGCGAACTCCTGAACATTGATTGGCCAGCCGAGATTCTCGCCATGGTGGACGGAAGTGATATTTGGTGGCAACGGAACGGATCCACAGAATTTGTCTCGGGTGCTGGATTAGGGGATGAGGAAGACCGCGGGGACGCATCATCGGATATGGAAGTGGAATTGACCGATGATGGACGACGATTACGTGGGGACGGCCGGCCGCGCAAACAACGCGAGCTGATCTTTAAAGGTCTTTCTGTCCGCATGGGCATCCATTTCGGTGCACCTCTGTGTGAAGTGGATCCCATTACGTCTCGTATGGACTATTACGGCCCAATGGTCAACCGCGCGGCCCGTGTCACCGGTGCCTCACAAGGTGGACAGGTCCTCATTTCCTCGGACGCCATGAAGGAACTCCAACATGTCTTGGGCTGGTGGGAGCATGATGGTGGTGTCGGGGAGGGCGTCAAGAGCGGCAAGGACTTGACCGAAGTTGTGGATGGTGGGGAGGAGGTGGCAAGGTTGAAAAAGTTGGGGATTGTGACATGGTGTATTGGAGAGGTCAAGCTGAAGGGGTTGGAGACGCCGGAAGTTATATATGCGGTATGGTATATTTTGGTCTCTTGGCATACTGGCGATGAATCTTAAACATTAACTTGCAGATTTACCGACGAGACTTGTTCATGCGACATCGGTTCTTTGCATTGGAACAGAGTGGAGGGTTGAATCTCATGGCACAGGTAATATTGCATCTCTATCGTCATTCGCATAGCATAAAATAAACTCACTCGGAAAAACACAGCCTCAACGCAAAGCCGACGAACCACCTCGCGAAAAAGTCCACAAACTCGACCGCAACACACTCCGAACACTTGCCTGCATCTGTCTTCGATTAGAGTATCTCGCCGCCCGATGCAGTGATGAATGGAAAGAAGACGAGTCGAATTCCATTACGCCTCCAGAAGACACGGAGGGAGATTGGGCTGTTGAAGGTGTTGAGGAAGCAGATCGGGAGGGCTTAATTAAAGTTTTGGAAGGGCTTGTCGCTAGGATTGAGGTATGTCCTTTTGTTTCTACTAACCCACTCCCCCATACGCAACATGCTCATGCAATTCACTCGCACACAATAGAACGCAGTATCCATCCTCTACCTAACCCGATCCCGCTTCTCCCGCGTTCTTCAGTCTCTTGGTGCAGCTATTGAGACCGATCCCAATCACTTGTTGAGGGCTCTACAACTTTACGCGGAGGAACTGGAGGAACGGAAACGGAGACGGGCGAAACAAAAGGAGGGTAAGCGGGAGAGGGAGGAGCGGAGACAGAGACGAAAATAATGTGATGGCGAGCACACGGACAACGGAAGGGTGAAAAGTTGCGTCTGAGACACGATGATCGGTTGCTGGTGATTTGGATATTCCCCATTTTTTTTTCATTTCTATTTTGTATAATTTTGGGTTCTCTCTCGAGGGTCATGATGTGGGTCATACAGTTGCTGATTTCTTCTGGGGCAAAGGCTTTTTAGGGTATACTTTTGTGCGCGTTATTTGTAGTATATTGGAGAGTGTATTGCGCATTTGTCTGGTTTGTTTACAATTTTTGGAGGGACATGACTTTTTTACGAGCACCATGGACCGAGATCCTCAATTCGATACGACACATGGCGATAATCGTGTGCCTTGTTCCTTTACAGCGACCACCATCATGGATGAGCTTTTGCTATCTCGGCTGCTGGGATGCGCGCATCCCCCAAAAAGCGCCTTTAAATGTTCCAAAGGAACGAAAGAGGCAAATGTACTGTATTAGACGCAATCCATTGGAAGACTGTAACAATCTCGGCAGCTAGGGCTGCTTGAATAGCACTATCTAGCACGAAAGACCAAATCTTCCCTTCAGTGTTAGAGGCAGGGCGCCTCCGGATATCTGGCACTGTCTACAAGCATGTAGTCGGACAGGAAATGCAGTGTGCCCGCTTCCAATCGGCATGCTTTGAGATGTGATATAATGAAAACCGAAAGGAGACAACCTGTACGCTCCCTTAGCTCAATTGGTAGAGCGTTAGACCATAGGATCTAAAGGTTCCGTACCCGTATTCAAATCGCGGAAGGGAGCATCATCACGTAGACCAATATGCTTTTTTCTCCGCGGTGTTCGGACCATTCTTCCTTTCCTGGGCCTACATGTGCGTACCTGGCCAGTCTGGATGCACGTCCACTTGTTAGCTAACCATATGTTCCTTTGAGCTTACATTGCAAAACGAAAAGAGTGCATACGGAAACTCTCTTAGCTCAATTGGTAGAGCGTTAGACCGTTAAGATCCAAAGGTTCCGTGTTCGAATCACGGAAGGGAGTATGACCGTGTCTTTAGGGATTCTTTTTTTGTGATTGTGGCCGGATCAGTTTTTCTGATACCAGCTCCAGTCTGGATACATGTAGCGCAGTCCATCGAACAGTAATTGCCGTTTCCCTTGTTGTCTCAACGGGACGAGCGCACGTTTCTCTCTTGATGATCACTTATTCAAGAACAGGAAGAACAAATATGTAAGCTCTGGCTCAAAGGGAAGGAGCATTCCCGTGAGTCGTGACCTGCTTTTTTTTTTTCGTTCTTTCATTCGGCGGCCTACTTTGCGCACCTCCCCAATCTGGAGGACGACATCTATTATAAAACAGCAGAGGTCTCTTAGCTCTAGTGATAAACCGTAACATCTAAAGGTTCGGTGTTCAAATCACGGAGGCAGCTATGCATGGGTTTTTTGGTCCTTTCACTTAGTACTTGTGCGTACAGAAAGTCTCCTTGCTGAATATTATTCGCCAAACAATGGCATGTAGCGCCCTTAGCTCAACTGGAAGAGGGTTAGACTGTAACATCTAAAGCGAGTGTTCAAACGAGGAGGACGCATTAATAGCAAATTGACTTTCTTTTTACGTTCTGTGACCGTCCGGCATAGTAATACACTACAAGTAACTTTTACATGTGCTGACAGCCCGTAAGGAGGTACTTGGAGCTATTGCAGCTGCGAATCTAGTATCCGCACGCAGAAAGCGTTCATGTTGCAAAATGCTCGATCACGTACACGTAATCTGGGATGTCGCGATGGTCCAACGTGTCACTTTAACGATCTAATGGAAATCCGATGATGTCTCAGCTCGTACCTGGAGAGATCGACGAGGACGACCTATACGCTTGGATAGATGAGATCCCTTTATCAAGGCCAAAGCGCAACATCCAGCGAGATTTCAGCGATGCGGGTAAGGCCATTGAATTGTCATCATACTGCTGTTTCCTTCATTCTTGCTAAAGTCCGTTTGACAGTTGCGGCAGCAGAAGTTGTTCGGCATTTCTTGCCAAAACTAGTAGATTTACACAATTACCCTCCGGCAAATGGAATGGCCCAAAAGCTTTATAATTGGAAAACACTTAATCGTAAGGGACATTTGATCAGGATGAACTGGCCATCCAGCTGATTATCTACCGTGCGATATGATGATCACCAGAAAAAGTTTTTCGAAAGATTGGATACCATGTTAGCGAGGAACTGATTCAAAACGTAGCATCGAATCGGCCAGGTTGCATTGAATACCTATTACATGGCCTCAGACAAAAGGTAGAATGCGATGCAAGAATACCGTTCCCGAGCTGATGACCAGATAGCGTACCGGCTCCCACTAACACTTTTCGATAGATCGATGCTTATCTAGCCCGACAGGTCCGGCAGCATAACTCAGCTATAAGGTCAACATCTGCCCTTGACCGGTCGTCATACAATGATATGACCAAAATTAGGTCAGGCTCGCACTCGCACGGGTGGCAGGCATCTGTGAGTCGTGAAGATTATGTATCCCCTCCGAAATCTCAAGCACCACTGGATTCAGTCCCACCTGTTACGCACGTAGGGATGGCAACAGCGAGTATGCCAATGATGAGTGGCAAGTACCGAAACTAAGCCCAGAACGATTTGATCGCTGAACATATCGTTGCAGAAGAACATCCCTCCAACATGTTTTTGGAACATAAGAGCAATCTCTATGATGGTCACAAGCACGATATGGTGGCAGAACTTCAAGAAACGGTCGAGGTAATGTCTGATAATGCATCCATTGTCAGAGGATAACCGTTGACAAACCAAGCTATTACAGATGTTGCAACTCAAAATATGCAAGCTCGAGCAATTGGTAGACCTCAAAGACCGTCGTATCGAAGAGCTAACTCTCCGACTACGCTCACACGGATTAGCGTAGCTAAAACATGCAGAAGTAATTTTAAATATATAGTGTCAGCATCTAACCCCTCCTACATTCGCTTTACTCGTCTCCGCCTTCTGCATCATCATCCAGATCTCCAACCAGGTCCACGGCGCCGGGAGGAAGAGGTCTATCTGACTTTAACCCTTTTGCCCCTTTCTCTAGATAAGGAGGCCTGCGTTCAGTGGATATTGTAGCGTCGTCGTTGAAGTACCACGCGTATTCGGCCGATCTTGAATCAATTACTCGCGCCCATTCGTCGAACTGGGCGTCATTGAGCTCTTCCTGTACCAGTTTGGAGTATATCCATTTTTCTTTGAACTCATCAATGACATCCTTGCATCAACAGCATGGTGAGATTATTGACAAACACTGAGACCTAAGAATGGCCTAACCTGATACTTGTTGAAATCAACGGCATCATCTTCTCCCGAGGAGCGCTTCTGGTTGTACATTCGAAACAATGTCTAAATGTCAACGCGATGGTTAGCAACAATAACATCAACACCTAGAATTGACGATACGGCAATTTACCTTATCCAAGAGGAGCCCCAACGCTGGCGCTTTCGGGATGTTTAACTTTTCATTCTCAAAGGTCCGCTCCACTAACGATGCCGGAGTTCCAGTTCTGACCATCATTATAGCGAGGCCTATAACTTGATATGAGAAAATGGATTTGACTGCGTGCCCGTCGCTTACTCACCGATCATCTTTCGGATTTGATGAAGCATGAATGATTGTCCCAGCACCTTGCATTTCACCCATTCGATGCCACCTCGAATGATGGGATCGCTGGCCTGTATTGCACACTTGGTCAGCAAAATAGTTAGGGTCTATATCCCGATTCCAAGCCCATACCTCAAAACTGATAATATAGCGGTTTGCGCTCCTGTCTTCAAAACGTTTGTTTACTGTGAAGTTGTGAAAGTTGTGCGTTCCCTCATATTCCTTCAAAATGGACCTTAGCAGGTCAAGCTGTTCTGGTTCTATTCTGAAGCTACGCTTGTTTTCCAAGTCTTTCTGCTCTGTCTTTGGCAACTCCACATAATCAAAGGACAGTTGTGCATCTTTTATGCCAGCTTTTTTTCCAACCGCGCTCAACGGATACAGACGTGGATCTACCGCCTGAAGTACATATGTCGGCAAGAAGTATTCGTAGATACGTGCATCGCAAGCATTTTTGGCGTGGAATGAGCGATTTGTCCTTACAAAGCCTATAACATAAAGTTCATATTGAGCCGAGTATACTATCAAGAAGCTTTACAATAGCTTACCCCAAATACGAATTTGCTCAGGTAAATGACTGTTTATCTTCGTAACAATATCCGGATCTTCGATTATCATTTTGAGAGAGCATACCTGCCCAGCAGCATGTACTCCCTTGTCCGTTCTTGCAGCCCTCATGAATGCGATCTGACGACGGCTTAAGAAACGACCGATGGTAGGGTGAAATCAAGCACCAAAAACCTTATGTGGGTCCATCGCATTATCTTTGCTAACAGCTCCGGCGGCAGCCAGCGCCTTGTGAAGCTCGAGCTCGATAGTCTCTACTCCAGGGTTACTATGACCATATTCACCCTCTGTCAGCTCTGACCTTTGCACGGGCTGACAATATCTGCAAGCTTACATTTGCATTCCATTATACCCAGTTCCACAATAACCCATCAAAAGAGCCACTTTTCTTTTAGGTAGCTTTGGTTCTTTAGGCTCTCCCGTATCTTCTCTTGGAACCCAAACTCGACCTTGCTTTCTGCCCTTTTTTGCCGATGGCTGCTTTGTTTTCACGTCCGGCGAGCTACATCCTTCGTCTTTGATTTCCTGCTGATCTGCTGATTCGAAGGTACCGTCGTGGCTTTTCGTCACTTGCTCTTCAGTGTCACAGGCGTCGGCGGTTGCGGTCTCTATTGGCTCCACCTTTATCTTCTTCCCAATTGGCTCATCATGTTCCCCTGGAGTAGTATCAGATAGTTCGGATACTGGTCGTTTGAGGTCGGATACTTGAGCTGCATCGACCGCGACTCCGCTACATGCGTCGTTTTTCTCCGCCTCGGTCATTTCAATTGGTGATCTCTACCCAGGCGAGAAATTGGACACTGCAAAGGCAGGCCATGTCCACGTGATGTACCCGTGCCACCAAAGGCAAGCAACTACACGCCGTGAACCGCTCTCAAGACTAGATTCCGTCCGCGCGTGGGGGTTTCATTCCTTCCCAGAAAGCACACAAAGGCGGAACGTATCCTGGCATCCGAGGTGTTGTTTTTCTCGCGTGAAACTATCGCACGATGGCGGACCAGAACGCCTACACTGTAATCCAGCAGGATGGTATGTAAGGACGCGCTGCTGGAATGGTATTGCAAGGCGGTCGTGGTAACGACTACCGCTAGATGATAAGGAGCAGCCCACCGTACAGGAGCTGCGAAAGCAGCTGGAGACTGGCAAAGATGAACAAAAGATTGAGACCATGAAGAAGATCCTTCTTATCATGCTGAATGGAGACCCTCTTTCGCAATTGCTCATGCATGTCATCCGATTTGTCGTGCCGTCAAAGAACAAGGCGCTCAAGAAGCTGCTACTGATTTACTGGGAAATCTGTCCCAAGACGAACCCTGACGGAAAATTGAAGCAGGAAATGGTGCTCGTTTGGTGAGTTCACGATAACAAGGAGGTGTCGGTCCACGATAAGTTACTGAAGCAATCGTCTCTGCCGCGGCTTATAGTAACAACCTTCGAACGGACATTCTCCATCCAAATGAATTTGTGCGGGGTAGCACATTAAGATTTCTATGCAAGCTTCGCGAAGCAGAGTTACTTGAGCCGTTGGTCCCAGCTGTCCGCACCTGCTTGGTAAGAACCATACATATCAACCATTCCTCCAATGATTGCTCATGCAGTGTGTAGGAACATCGTCATCCTTATGTCAGAAAAAATGCTGTTTTGGCCATCTTCTCCATCTTCAAGTATTTTGAATATCTGATCCCAGATGCCCCAGAGCTGATCCAGACATACTTGACGAATGTACGCCCTGGCTTGTGACTCCAGGCGGCAGAACGCTTCTAAAATTAACGTTCGCAAATAGGAAACGGATCAAAACTGCAAAAGGAACGCATTCATGATGTTGATGAACACAAAACAAGCATTGGCGGTCCAATATTTGAATACGGTTTTCAATCAGATACCAGCCTTTGACGAACTTCTGCAGCTGTCTGTGATTGAGTTGATTCGCAAGGACTGCCGAAACCCCACTGCTGATAAGGTGCGTGATGCGTTTTCATTAGACAAGCCAGCATGACATAAACTTAAACTATCTTACAGGCGAAATACATACAATGTATCTTCTCTCTGCTGCATTCCTCGTCCCACTCAGTCAAATATGAAGCAGCAAACACCTTGATCGCGTTGACATCCCATACCTCAGCAGTTCGCGCCGCGGCCTCATGTTACATCGAACTCGCGCTGAAAGAGTCTGACAATAACGTGAAATTGATCGTTTTGGAGCGAATTAATGAACTGCGGGAAAAGCACGACCGCGTGCTTGAAGATTTGGTTATGGATATACTCCGCGTATTGAGCAGGTTGGTAGTTTCGAGCCGCTGATGCAAGTTTTGGCACGCTTGCTTACAACATGTCTAGTCCCGACATTGAAGTCCGTCGGAAATGCTTGAAGATTGCGCTGGAAATGGTAACCAGCAGAAATGTAAACGAAGTTGTTGGAGCCTTGAAGAAAGATTTGGTGAAAACCCATGACCAAGAGTACGAAAAGGTAGACTAGCGGGAGGTCAAAGATTCCTCAAATTGGTTCTTGCTAATGCGGAGGCACGGCTTCTTTTCGCTTAGAATAACGAGTACCGACAGCTACTTATTAATGCCATCCATTCCTGTGCGATCAAATTTTCAGAGGTTGCTGCTGATGTTGTGCACGTTCTCATGGAGTTTTTGGGAGAATCGAACAATGCAGCAGCCGTAGATGTAATGGCGTTTGTTCGGTGCGTGTAATGGATTAATTGTTTGCCTTGGGAGATGTGACTAACCCAGAACTAGTGAGGTGATGGAGAAATTCCCTGATCTGCGGCCGAGCATTATAGAAAAGCTTCTCCAGACGTTCATGGATATGAAAACCGGACGAGTCTTCCGTGGTGCGCTATGGATCATTGGTGAATACGCACTAGATATACCTGGTGAGTTTAAAACTTAGGTAGACTTTTGAATTTTGTGCGTGACAAAAAAACTTTTAGCTATTGAGGAAACCATGAGACAAGTACGCAGCGCACTAGGGGAGATTCCAATCTTGGCATCGGAGCAGGTGTGTGGAGAAATCTTTGGCGTTCATTCCTACCGCAATTTTAAGAATATTCTGCCGTAGCGTTTATTGGAGGAGGCTCACTCAGATCAACCAGCCGCCGCGGAAAGCAGGCCCGCAGAGGTTACTTCAACAGCGCGCCGGGTTCTAGCGGATGGCACCTACGCTACGGAGAGTGCATTTTCGTCGAAAGCTACGGACAAGGCAAAACTAGATGCGGTCAAAGCGGCCTACAAGCCGCCACTTCGAGGTTAGTTATGGTATATCCGCGTGCTGATCGACATTTGCTAAATAGAGCTGTTGTGTAGCTCTTCTCCTGAACGGTGACTACTTCCTGGGAGCTGTCCTCTCGACGGCTCTCACGAAACTGGTTCTGCGGTACGCTGAGATCAATGGTGACCAAGTCAAAGTCAACACACTGAAATCGGAAGTAAGTCGTCTCCGAGAAGCTGATATAACTGTATAATACTGTGTTCTAACTGCTATCATAAGGCGATGTTGATTATGACAAGCATAATTCGCGTCGGCCGTTCAGATTTCCCATCGGCCCCTATTGACGAGGACTCTCACGATCGGATTACGACCTGCTTGCGCACCCTCTCCTTGATTCCTGAGGACGACATGATGCGAGAAATCTTTTTGGCGGATTGTAGACGTGCTTTCAGTCAGCTGGTTCAGTCCCAAGATGTAAGTCTTATCGTCGTTTGGATATGGGGCTTGCATGTAGAACGTTGAATGTTCACATCGCGTACCTCCCCACAGAAAGTGAATAAGAAGAAAGCCGCAGAAAAGAAGGAAGTTAAGGTACACGCCGACGATGCCATCTTCTTCCGACAACTGAAATCGAAGCGAAGCACCGCTGACGGTACAGACGAGGTAGATCATGGAACGAAGCTTGAATTCAAAATTAGAGTGTTACTGAAACCAGGTGCCTTTCAGTATGAGCTGGACATCACGAGAGCCACAGGTGTAGCGGATCGCTCTGATAATCTGGCCTCCAAGCTGAGTCGGGTGGTACAATTGACAGGTGAAAACGTTTCCTGAATTAGCGGTACCTCTGCATTGTGCTGACGTTTTTGTCATAGGCTTTTCGGATCCTGTGTATGCCGAGGCATATGTCAATGTACATCAATATGATATTTTGCTCGGTATGTAACCATTTGCCTCTTTTGTGGCCGACACACACTTTGCTTAGGATGGTTCATTTACGCAGATATTCTCATTGTAAATCAAACGAGCGAGACGCTGCAGAACCTCACTGTTGAATTTTCGACTCTTGGTGATCTTAAACTTGTCGAGCGACCGGCGCCATATACAATTGGCCCACATGGATTCCATGGTATCAAGGCCAATATCAAGGTGAGACTTCCTCACGTTAACCCAATAAATGTTTCCAGCTGTTGACCCATCGGTGTGGTCGGATTATAGGTGTCTTCGACGGAGACTGGTGTGATTTTTGGAAACATTGTCTACGATGGCCCGTCCACTTCAGACACCAACTGTGTCATATTGAATGATGTGCATATTGATATTATGGACTATATCAAGCCCGCATCATGCACTGAAACACAGGTAAACACGGCGTACAATTCAGGTTTTGGCCATGCATTGTCATAACTCTCGCTATTACACAGTTCCGAATGATGTGGAGCGAGTTTGAGTGGGAGAACAAAGTCAATGTGAATACGAACATAACGTGAGTTTATAAATGTCTTTTTCTGCGTTTGCTCCGTGGCTAATTGTTATACAAAAGTGACCTCCGGGAGTACCTCGACCACATCTTGAGATCAACAAACATGAATTGCTTAACGCCAGAACACGCATTATCTGGCGAATGCGGATTTTTGGCAGCAAATATGTACGCACGAAGTATATTTGGGGAAGATGCCTTGGCGAATATCTGCCTAGAGAAGCAGGATGACGCGATTACTGGACACATTCGCATTCGAAGCAAGACTCAAGGAATAGCTCTCAGCCTTGGAGACAAGATTACCCTTTCACAAAAGAATGTGGCGCCGCCTGTCGGTCAATCCCCTGCTTATACATAGATTGTTTGCTCTCATATGACCATGCTATATTACAATATACGCTGCCTTTTTTTGCCTTACATGAGCGACAAGTGCGGATTTGCAACTGCACATTTAATCCTACTCAAGCTTGGGCGACGTCCCTACTTTTACCACACGGATGTGTATCGCCGAATTTTGTCTTGGTTCGGAATAGATATCGGCTTCCTATCATTTTGCGTGCGTTAGCCGCAGACCTCTCCTCCCAACACGCACACCAAAACGACATACCACATCCTCTGGTTCAATATCATCTACCAAGACCACACTAGAAGTCGTTATCGTCCATGCTATCCGATCAGGATTCTTTTCACGCAAGGACAATGCAAGTTCAATAGCTCGGGTAATAGCCGCTCCAAGGCCGTGAATAGTCAGAAACGTAAATCTGGGGTATACACTCTGCATAAATATGGATAAGATATGGCAAGGATGTAAATAGTACAGTAAAACGTACTCGGTACTATCCAACAGTTT